CTGCTAAAAGCCTTTTCTATTCTCCTTCTTGCACGAGATTAACAGCAATTTTTTTAGGAATTAAGAAGTAAAGATTTACTTATTGAAATTGCTCCTATACTTAGATCTTCGTTAATTATGCTAGGTTTTACCTAATTTTCTCCACATTGAGTGCGCTTTGGTGGTCCAGAATTCATTATGCTTAACCAAACAAAGACCCTTATGCCTTTCGGATTTTGTGCTCTTTAGAGAAAGGCTCTACTTTGGCACAAACCTTGTTTTTATCGACTGGCTTGATTTTACTACTCTCCTGTCTCTCACAAAACACCGGCTCCACTAGGAGGTACGTGTTGGCGATGAGTACCAGGCTTATGTGCCGCCCACTACCTTAACCGATTCGCTTTCGGCCGCAACCGCTGCAACCAACTCACCGTTGTGCCCACTTCTGCCTGCTATTGGTATTTGTACCAGCGGTAGCGCTCATATTTTCTCTTCGTCATCCTCCGTTGCCTCTGAATCCTATGCGGCTTCTGCTTCCGGCATTCCAACCATTCGAGAATCGACTAAGCCACTCTCCGGACCCACTCCGATTTCCCTATCTGTGTCCATTCCTTCCTTCCTTCCGACGGGTGGCCACCCCTCGACTCTGACATCGCTGCCTCCATCGCCGACGACTGACTCGATCGACAGTCGTTTAGCTGAGCTGGCTGCTCTGCTTTGGAAACCCGGTTGTCTACCTGAGTCATCTATTGTCCATTACCAACGTTGCTATGCCAAGACTGCCGCTGGTGCTGTTGGTCTAGCGGGACACCATCAGGCACCGGAAACTCTCGGCTATGGCCTTCTCTCCTCCTGCGGAGTATTTCCTACGGACAGAACTGTAGACGATGAAGAGGTATAAATGTGATTTCGTGTTTGTCTATTCTTGCTGTAAGGGGATGCGGATAGACCTAAGCTTTCGCTAGTTTACTAAACGGTTAATTGTTAATAACAGCTATCACCAATAATGCTGACATTAATTGGCAGTGTAAACATGATTGGTCCATTAATTTAACCAAATTGAAGAATTATTATAGAGGATATGTAGTGAACGGCTATGCTATGGATATATTTCTGAGGTTAGATAAACTTTGAGCGCCAACTGTACTTTGGCAGTAATATTTTACTAATCTTTGCTATTTTATAATGAATGGTTGCAATCTAAACGGGCTTTAGATTGTATATTTATTAATAATTTCTTGGGGATGATGAAGAACATCGAAAGCACAGGTTAACTTGCTTTTT